AAAAAAAAAAGGGGGGGGGGGGGTGGTAAAGGTGATTCCCGTAACTGTGATACAGCTCAACTGATTAAGTAACAGTTAAAGTATAGCCTAACCCAGCATTACACTCTGGAAGCTGTTACAGCACGTTGCATACCTGTCAGCAATTCTGCAGCAGCTCCAATTTATCCTTTAGGTTAAAAAAAAAATAATTCACCCGCCTCTCACTGTCACAACCATCTTGATTTATGACAGGCTCCTCTTACAGGCTTGTCAGCTCAGTAACATGAAATTCACAGTTTATCTCTTGTGCACGCATGAATAAGACTAAACACGAATATAAAATGACTTTCAAAATGTCAATCATATGATGCGCTCATTAAACGTGTACATTCAAGGATGCATTAAACTGATCAAAAGTGACAGTAAAGATGTTTGTAATGTTGCAAAGGAAATGCTGTTCTTTTCAACTTTCTATCAGTGAATCCTGAAAAAAATTGTATCACAGTTTCCATAAAAATATTAAGCAGCACAACTGTTTTCAACATTGATGATTATGGTGATGATAATAATAATAATGAGACTATACAAAAGTATAAAATGATTTTCAAAATGTCATATGATAACATATGATACTCTATTTAAACATACACAAACAAGGATGCATTAAAATGATCAAGTGACAATAAATACATTTATAATGTTGCAAAAATGTTCTAAGAATGTTTTGTTAATATCTCCATTAATGAAAACATGATTTCTGAATGTTCAAAACGTCCAGTTTTTTAAAAGTTTAAAAGACATTTTATTTGGACTATGTTAGAGACAACATTAATGCAACATTCCATTTAATCTTTTTGCAAACATTATGGAAATGTTACTTTGGAATGTTCTCTGAACCATCTGAACCATCGTTAGATGAACATCCAACTAAAATGTTTCAGAGAAACGTTGAATGAACGATGTATAAATAATGTTGTTGAGCTATTGTTTTAGTACAGTATTAAATACTAGATAACTTTGAATGAGCATTCTATGAATGTTAATTGAAGAACATTTGAAGAATGTTTGAATAATAACTTAATATAATTAACAAAATAATTAATAATAAAAAAAACTTGCAAGAATGTTCTAGAATGGTCCCTGTTAGCTGAGAAAGAATCCTGAAGAAAATGTCAGTTTCCACCAAATTGTTAAGCAGCGAAACTGTTTTGAACACTGACAACAACAACCACAACAACAAGAAGACTATACATTAATATAAAATGAGTTTGAAAATGCCAGTCATATTATACTCTTCTTTAAATGTGCACAAAGTTGCTGCAGGGTTTGTATTTCTCTCAGTCCCACATACCAAGGCTGTTAAATTACCTCAGGCATGTTGGAGAGAAATCAATGCCTGCAGGAGGGACGCTCGCCTGTCTGTCCGTTGGAACATATGACTTTCACCAACAACAGCTACAGTGAACCTTTCTGGGCAGCACTTCAAGGAGCTGGGTATTTAAAGAACAAAGTGTGATCAAAACATCCTGACTGAGCACCAGGACTCCTCGGCAAAGACCTGGACCCCAGCTCTGAGTGCAGATATGACAGAGTCAAGCTTGCGTATCAGTGGGGGAGCCGTCAGATTTGGAGCCACCTATAGAGGCAACCATCTGTTCTCCGGAGCCAGGGGCGGTGGAGGCGTTAGCACGGCTCTGTCCCGTTCGCTCGGCTTGGCGAGAGGGGGTGCAGCAGGAGCTGGTCTCGGCCTGGGAGGAGGTTTGGGTGTAGGTTTTGGGGCTGGGGCTGTAGCTGGTGCAGGAGCAGGACTGGGCTTCGGCGGAGGTGCTCTCGCTCTCGGTGGAGGCCTCGGCCTGGGAGCCGGCGGAGCCAGAGTAGCGGGGATCAGGGCTGGTGTGGCTCCGCTGAGAGCCCATCTAGGGGGCCGAGTATTTAAAATTGGAGGCTATGGTTTCAACCCATCCTTCATCAGTTCTACCATTACGGTGGATGCCGGTGCTGGTCCAATGCCCAGCATCGACCCAACACTCCCATCACTGGACACAGTGCAGGTCACACGCATGAAAGAGAAGGAGGAGCTGCAGGCCCTCAATGATAAATTTGCATCTTTCATTGGTAAGGTGAAAGATTTTACAAATATCATGCTATGTCAGATTAACATATAATCGGTAAATAGAAAAGACTTTATTGAATGCTTTTTACAAATAAGGTCCTAATCACTATAACGTTGTTTCACAGGCCAGGTCTCTGGAGCAGCACAACGCAGTACTAAAAGCCAAAATTTCCATGTTTACTAACCCAGAGCAGGGTGGACCTGCCAGCACTTCCATCCATCTGACCTCTGCCATCAGAACATATAAATCCCAGATCGACAGCCTCACTGCTACTAAAGAGGCCATCATCGCCGAGATTGAGCACTTTAAAGGCATCATTGAGGATGTTCAGGCCAGGTGAGTCCACAGAATATCTGAAGAAACGTACATTCAAGAATTAAAAAAAATATATTAATAAAAATATACCATTCGAATGTTTGGGGTCTGTAAGATTTTTAAGTAATCAATATTTTATTCAGAGAGAATGTCTTAAATGATCACAGTAAAGATATTTATGATTTTGCCAAGGAAATGCTGTTCTTTCTATTCATCAAAGAATCCTGAAAAAATATCATAGTTTCCACAAAAATATTAAGCAGCACAACTGTTTTCAACATTCATAAAAAAAACATTTTCTCAAGCACCAAATCAGCATACCAACCCTAAACGTTTGAAAGCTAGTTTAAAATATTGCATTAAAGAAACTTCATTGATTACCTGACATTAAAGATAATTTTAGAGGCCCCTTTATCTTTCAATAAAATTTTTCATTACATTTTGAGTACACATTTGTAATTATATTCCCCTTAACTGCTACTCAACAATATTAATTCTACCTTCTTATTGGCACTTTGTGGTTTGATTTTAATACTCTACATGAATCTAGTGCTCATCTGTATTGCCAAAGTAATTGTGCTATAATGAGTATGTAAAGGCATTTAAAGTTTCTCATATTAGTCTTTATATCTCTGACCACCTGCTTAGGTGATTGTCACAGGTAAAATATGCCCTTTGGGTAAGAATGGACCAGACAAGAGGACAATTACTGATGTACCTGCACATTCTCTTCTTCTTTATTGTCTCAGGTATGATGAGGAAACTGCTCAAACCAAAACTCTGGAGCTCGATTGGACTGCATTGAAAGAGGTACGAAACATACATCATCAGGATGGTTCTTACAGGCAGACAACTGACTTTCACAA